CAACATATTACGCGAAGTGACAAGACTTGAAAAGGAAACGGAACATATTTTGCCCCGTGCGCTTTGTCCGTAACATATTATTGTTTCTCATCGTTTATATCCGCGGCTCGAGCATTTTCATGAACTACTCACGAGCCCACTCATTCTCCCTTGTACAGCAGCCAACCGGTGATTCTTGGTGGTGGATGTAATTTACGAGTTCCTGAGTCATAAACGTAACAATGTGATCGCATCGGTTGCTTACTAAGGGCCGTGCCCACTAGTAACTGTTTCTAAAGTATTAGGACTAATTGTTGGTACACGAGTTTGTACATTTTATTAGATTTTTAACAGTCACATTTTGATTTAGGAAAGCTTCAATTACATCCTCTAACGAATATCCACAGATTGTACGGTTCTCCGGTAATTCCCGTTACTCGGCCCATACTTGTATCATGAGACTAAAGTGACAGGAATTATCAACGGTACTTGTACATGCTGTATATCTCGTGTCAACATATCATCGTCCGACATTAATCATTCATTTCATAAGAACGCTTTCATTCGCTAATTGTTAACGCGATTAAATGGTAACCGATCATTGTGTTAATTGCTCGTTTTGGAAAGCCGTGTAAAGGTACATTTACAAGGTAACGGTGTGCGTTGCCTTGGACTTCACGTTGCCCTTTTTCTTGTATCAACTGCTCGGTGATCTAATTTCATTGCCTATGTATATATATCTAGTCGTCTATTTCTGAAGCTAAGTAATGTTGTCCGTTTGTAAGGTGTAGGTGTATCTTTAATGGAGTTACTTTGCTTCTTTCTTTTGAACATGATTAAATCATCCTTATATAAAAATGGCAGGTGATCACCTCGGATCGTCGATAGAACGAAAATGAGATGGTCTGAGCGAGAAAGATTGCCCCAGTCCATTACCATCACATGATCAGTGTTGACAGATGTTCATTTCATTCGATCATTTGATCATTGCATTTATCATATTTTAGAAAAGCCAAAAAGTAGAAAGTGAAACCAATGAACGTAACGAAAACAGTACACACAATTGGAACAACATTTAGTGATTGCGGTGAGTCGCACAATAAATCCTAGATCATTTTCCGTTGTACCATTGCACGATTCATTGATTAATCATCGTACTCCAGTTGGTTTCCTTCTGTTTCTTTTTTTTTTTTTAAACGTACACTTTTTTTTATATTCATTATAATTAGCGTACAACAATAAGTATCAAGAGGAATGTTCTTCCAATTGTGAATGCGGAATGAATTACCAAGATTCTTCAGAACAGAAGAACATTGTATGTGCTTACTGTGTTTCATATCGCGCTAAAGATTCCTTTGATTTCTGTAAAACATTTGGAGTCGCTGGTTACAGTCATATTTCGTTATCCGTTACGTGTAGTTCATGTAAAATTATCTTAACAACTTATATATGTATGCACGGGATGCTCTAGAATTTTCCAGACAAACGGTGAATATTTAACTGACAAAAGTACGAAAGAAAAGTGAGTTGTTTCTTATAAGAATTGATCACTCCTTACTTTACGCTTAGGCGTTGTCATTATAACATTTCCCTAAAACATTTAAGGAAATATCTTTATACGGCAGATTTTTTTCTTATTTTTGTTCGTATAAAATATCTGCGTTTGGTAAAAAAAAAAAACTATCGATGTACTATGAACACCCTGTATACATATATTTCTTGCATTTAGATTTTGGACTGATTGTCATCGTGAATTGTATCATTATAATAGTTGAGATTCATTGTAATAGTTCGGATGAATTACCGCTTAAGTGTTCCAAAGAATCGAAGCTTCTGACTGAAGTAAAGTAAAAGAAAAGCTGACCTTCACAGTTCAATCGTGCTAATTTTCAATTTACTTATCCGAAACTTGTTTGGTCTACGAAGATAAGGAAGCAACAAGAAAAAGAACGAAGTAACAAGTATAATACGGCGGAAAGCTGTAACGAGTTAACTGTTAAATTAATATTTATGAAAACTACGTGTTCCGATGTTCTAAAATTCTAATATTACACGTTAGCGAGTCCTAGTACTTAGTGGATACACGTTTCTATATCAATGTCATGAAACGTGTATATACTACTCGGTGTGAAATTTTATAGACTGAAAAGCAAAGTCCAAAAATCGAATCACTGACCGTCAGGAATGGTTTTCGGTTTCGTTAGATTCAGTGTCAGCAGATCAACGAATAGCGAGATGGGTGACTGTACTGCCTAACAGATTAACTGTGCTTTAGCGACAAAACATTTCCAAACGTTTCTGCAACTTAAACATTTCGGAAAGATATAGGGCGATTCGCTTCTAGCTTGATGTTTCGAACAACTTCTTCTTTTTTTTTTTTTCAAGAACAAATATGTTCTGTGCGATAGATCGCATTAAATGTACTTAAAAGCAATTGTTTAAATATCTGACTAAAGAGAACACGAAGTGGCATTCAAAGCGGTCAGATTTATTATAAAACTTATTTTTCTGTTTTCTTCCAAATACTATTGTATTGGGGGTGGAGGCTATTCGAGACGACAAGCTGGAGTAACTCGCTGTCTATACATATATATATGAAACACAATCGTCTCAACGTGTCACGTATTCACCAAGAGCTCAGTTCACCAGGCGCTTCTTATTCGCATTTTTCATTGCTTTCATGAAACCGTATCCTTCCGTTCGCCTAGTATGATGTGTATATTGTTAATATAATTCGTAGACCATATTTGCAGATATGATTGTGTATATCATTATTGCGACTATCATTTTTATCATTGCTTATTCATTACCATCATTCATTTGTTCATGCTTCTTTTTTTGCTGCCGAACAGATCTCACCACGTTCTGTAAACCTTAAATCTTGTTGCCTTTTTCTAGCGAAGGTATAAAACATTGTACACGCGTACACCCAGCAGTCACATATATGCAGTTCCCAAAGACCGGACTGTGATTTATGCATATTATTATATACTTTAATTGTCCAGATTTGTGTGTAGCATCCTTGCCGGTCCTTGTGCTGGATAGTATTATAGTATTCCTTTAGAGCAACATCAGAAATATTTTCAGACGTAGAAACCTTTCCCTAGTGGGCAAAATGATCCATTTTTCGTCTCTCAATGTTAAAGTTAAATTACGGGGGCCATAAATGCCCATTGCAATATTTAGAAGTATAAAATGTTCATTATTCTGATTCAGGATGAATATCTGCGAATGATAAGAGCTTCTAAATTTGTAAACAGTTTGACAGGAGAATCGAATAGAATGTGAATGGATCATGTTGCCCTTCCTTATGGAAATCCTACACAAGTCTCGTGGAATACACGAACAATAACACTTTTTTTAAAAAAAGGCCATAGTCTAAATGGTGAAAAATAGTTATTCAGTCGGCTGGGACAATTTAAGTATACAGATATCGTAGTCTCGTTCCAATTTACGTTGTGAAAACCTGTTAGAACAGTTTTATTATTATTCTACTCTCAATGCCTTGTCAAATAATACAGAGAATTTATACCACCATATCCGTGTAGTGTTGAACGCAGAGATATACACATACTCCCGACACAACTAGTACGAGGGTGCTATTAACCATTTTTTATTTAACGTTCGCTTTGTTTGCCAATTTTTCAGCTAAACCGGAGCAGTGAAGTACGGTGTATAAGCCGCTCAGCACAACACACGTTTAAACAAAGAAATGTTTCGTCGCTCTGCGTGGTTAAAGGCAACGCTCTTACGTAACAGTTTAGGAAAAGACACGAATACATGGCCAGCAACGGTGTTTCACGAAAAAATACGAAAAAACCGAAGGACGACCCTTGCTAGACCAAGTCGTTTCACGAAAACGCCTACATCTCGACTACTGTCAGCCGACGGATAAAGAAAACAAATAGAGAAAAAGTATATATATATATATATATTAAACGAATCAGCTCTGTCTGTATGTGTTAAAAATTAAAAAAAAAAAAACATTGTCACGCGCGTGTAGGCCATTCTCGGAAGTCTAATTCGCATTTTTAGTTCTTCAAGGAATTTTTGGACACTTTGCAATATATCGCTAGTTGAGAAAAAAAGTGACACCACTCGGTATGTCCCACGTTAGCGTGATCGAGCGTCCACTCACTCTCGGATCTATTGATCGTCAAAAGTCTTAAATCACGCTGTATGTTCCACGTATCGTTTTTTCGAGCCTTATCATTGTACGCGTATATGCCACTATTGAAATATGTAATTTAATATTATTTTAACATTTGATACGGATCCACAATAATAGGATGCATGCTAATTGTAATTTTTAATCGAAGAAAAAAAAAAGATGGTTTGTTCGGTTCCAGGTTGCCGTAAAGATTCTTGTAATTCTACACGTAAATTTGATGTTAAAGCGCTTTGTATAGAAAAATTTTAGTACTCGCGTTGCTCAGAGTGGAGGAGCAGATTGTAAAGAAATAAGAAATATTAAGCAATGAGTTACGTCAGTGTTCCTTCATTTTGAGCGGCGTATTGGCTGGTGTTATGTGTTAAACAGAAGAAATTTTTTTTAAAGTATTTTGTTGTCAAAACTGTGTACCACACACGTTAGAATGAAAATGGGAATGTGTGGAATAAGAATTACTTATTGGATGTTTCCAATGAACGATGAAATTATTTCTGTGATCTTTCATATATTAATGCCAGCGCGTTAGCCGATGCTAAAAGAGTTAATTGTCCAAGTCGCTAAGCAAGCAGTGCCTTTTTGAATACTTGCAAGAATGCTTGATTGCTCTTTACGCAGAATCTGTATTCAATCAAATAATATCCGTTATCGTTAATATAGCTGGGAAGTAGGTGTGTGTCCACGGCAACCTGTTACATATCTGCTCGTTTCGAGAACTTTGTTTTTTTATCTTACTTTCTATCCACACTCATTTTATCTCACGTCCGTGAAAAGTGCTCGGCCAGCGTTATCGTTTCCATCCGAATTTCTTTCTGCACGTCCTCTTGTACTCTGATTTCGCGTGTTTCCGCAAACGCGTACGCGTTTGCGTTTCGATGACTGCCATATATGTTTAAGAAGCACACTAACTTGGGACATGATATATAAATATATAAATAAATATATAAATATTATATATATAAATATAAATATGAATTAGCTTTTAACAAATTGTTAAATATATGCTGCGCCCTAAGGGAGAAACGCATTGGAGAATTATAAAGAATGGAACACACTGTGTAATAATTCAAAGAGTTTCCTCTTATACGATCCCAAATATTACAGAATATTCTACGGAATTAAAAACGAAGGGAGAGACGTTTAATTGTTCTTTAGACTTCTCTGTGTACGGTGCGGTTGTTATTAAGTGTGCGTGTGTCTGTTAATAAGAAACAGACTGTAATTGATATTGATTCCACTTAAAATGTCTAGCTTGATACCAACTGCCGTTCGATTTACGACTTGTGCGATTGTTAACTTCTTTTTCTTTGGCTTTTTTTTTTTTTTTTTTTAATATTTATCACGTTCGTTTCATTTTTGTTTCGTGTAGCATATAAGAGCTAGATCTAAACGTGAGGTTTGAGGAGGACCGAACTTTCTTTTTAGCAATGAATCTTTTAATATTTGACTCGAAGATAATTTCCGTTTTATTGCTCCATTTCAATGCGACTCGGACAATCTGATGTCCACTTGTTCCACACTTCGGAATGCATCTCTATTTCGTTCTTTTTTATAGTCGATAATAATGACGGCACATTCGACGAACATTTCAATAATACAGTTTATAGAAAGTCTCATGTTTTTTAACCATTGATCGCGCACTTCACTGATTTGTACATACAACCATGAGAAAAGCGGGGTATGCTTGGAGGGATGAAGATAAACACGGAATGGTAACCACAATCTCTAATCAAAATCAGCTCGACACGTTCGCTTTTTCTAATTTAATGCATGTGCATTTAGTGGATATTTTTGAAATATTCGGAGTCGCATTGCTACACTACACACGACTTGATATTTCCTAGCTATGTGTTTTATATATAAATATATATATATATATAAATATACATAATGAAGAACAGTAAATTATAAGAAATAAAAGTTATTATAATAGATAATATACGATTGTAAAACTAGATGATGGTACATCGTGTACACAACAATCCCCTCTGCAGTTCCTCAGAAATTATGTGGTATTATATTGTTTTCGATAATTGACAAATAACGTCAGGTCGTCTATCTATCATTCTACTCTAAAGACGTTGGACGCTACATACTACATTTATATCAGTTTATTATTAAGCAGTTTAAAAATGGATGATCCGGTGTTATATGGTGTTCGAAGCATTCAAGACAGGGTTTTGGAGTACGCGTAATCCTAAAAAAAGATCGGTGATTAGATTAAAACATTTCAGACAAATCAGGCTTTCCGCAATTTTTGTTGTGCCATCTAGCGATAATCTGCTAAAATACATGATAAATAAATATGTCATACATCTCACAAACACGGTATCTCTTACACATTCTTCGGGGGCTCTATGACCCCACTTTCTTGTATACGTGGGGTTTCTTCGTATGTCCAGGGGTCCTATGACCCCACTTTCTCGTACCCCCGGGGACTCACGCATGCTTGGGGGGTTCTATGACCCCACTTTCTCGCACACACGGGACACCGTAGGAGAACTCCTACCAACAGCCCCATTATAAAGAGAGGAATGTTACTCCTGTTACTGTCCTCTCTTTCCAGGGCCGACTTTATCCCTACCATAAGATCGCGCAGTCTATTATACATGTATGTCTATGGTATCATTGAATACTACGCATATGAATGTATGCTTATCTCAGCTGGTAATTCCCCTGTATTGAATTTGAAATGTATTGCTATTGTTAGAGTTTCATTTTTTGAATGTTTCATGGAAACGCTATTCTATACATAGTGACCCAAAAGTTTCTCCGTGTTCTAACAAAAGTGTATGATTTTCAAATAATTTTCTTCGCATTGTATCCATTCTTCCTACAGAACACAAGCATTAGACCGATTAAAACACTATTACCGATTTAAAAAGCATAACAAACACTTCAGTATAATCTTTAGAAGCTCAAAATAAATTTGACATATTCTACATAAAGCGTATTTACAAGAACAATGTCTTATTTTCTGTTGTTCATTTCAACTCTTTCGGCACGTCTAATTAATCTTGAATAATGAATAAAATGGATAAAATTATTTGATAGTACATGTTTGCTGTAAGCAGAACCGCGATAGATACTTTTGAGACCCCCGGTATATATCTGGGTGCATATATACGCGTAAATAGTCATTAAAGAAAGTCAGTCTGAGCAAGATGGCCGGCCGGACAAGTTCGGCCTTTTGTTATTCCGTGTTAGTTCTTTATTTGATACTGTTAACAAGTTCGAATAATGGACAGAGGTTTGGTGATAAAGCAACCACACTTCATATCTCAGAGGATGACGGTTCGTATATTGGCAAACAGCCGCTTGTCATCAATCGAGGCGAGCATTTATCCGATGGTAGCGAAACGTCATCGGGACGAAACCGCAGGGATGTCCCAACGGCGCATCCGAGTAACAATCCGAACATCATGACGAAGGTACGCAATCATCCTGGTTCGTATCGCGTACGGACAGACTGCGGCGAACGGAAATGCCATTAACCCGTTTCTCGCATAACTTGTGTTTGTTTTTGTCGCCTTATCTGCGAGGGACTTGTTGTACTCGGCGATACCAGCCGATTTTAGAATTTTATGCGCCGCCCGCAACTAATAAGGCCTGCGTACAAATGCTGCCTTTGTGCGCCGTCCACAAGAGACCGTAATTGCCGTATTATGTCCCTTCCGGACTAAATTTAATCAATCCTGACGAAACGCAGCAGCGTAGCGTCACTGTCGTTCTGTTATTGACATGCAGAGGTCAGTAACCGCTTCGAACGGCTCTCTCATTTTTCAATATGAATTTTATTTATTTATTGAGTTGTTCGTAAGGCTCGTAGCATTTTCAAGGGTAGTGCTGGTACTACTTGTTTTGTATCGTTTTGTTTCATATACTTTCATACGGATCTATAGTCTTCAATTTGCATCTTATCATTACTATCCACTTGTTTTTATAACTTTTTCGATTTTGTGTATAATTTCAATACACAAATTACCAAAATATACCTTAAATACAATAAATGTGTACCAGATCAAATGATTTTTTATTACTCAATGAAGGCAATAAAGACAATGCCCGAAATGCTATGAACATTTGGAAAGATCTAAGTATTTACAGTCATCTTCTTTTGTTGCAAAGAATGACTGAGCTTGAATATAGCATTCATTGATTGTTATTGAGGCACATAATTTTAGTCTGTTTAGCAGATACAAGTTGAAACAATATTACCAATGTTTTGATCTTTTATCTCTAACAAAGGAATGCAATGTCATTACTTTGATGTATATAATAAATGTATAACATATATATGTATTCAATAAAGAGGCTGTATTAATTTTATCTTTATGTTTTAATAAAGCTGCAAATATAAAAGAAAGAGTACAGTCTCAATTCAATGAATTCCACTTGTATCAATATATAATATTTTTACAATATCTTCTGATGCACCAGTTTGTGACAATTAGTCATAGGTAGGTGCCATGTCTGTGAACACAGAAACAGTGAGTTACACGGACAGTAATACTGATACAGTCTGATAACAAAGAAGTATAATGTGTCAGCAGTTTAGGTCGATAATATAAATAGCATTAATGAAGATTAGAGCATTTGTTATCAAGTAGCAAGAATTTTTCCATAATACGTATATATTTAATGACTAGTTGAATATTTCCAGTAATTATAAAAAAAAGGAATAAACAATTTAATAATATCTAAATTATATTTTATGTAACTTTGAGCAACAGAAATAATATATGATTAGAGTTATAGTACATGCATAGTCATTGGTACATTTTACTGAATGTGAGGTAATAGTTTTTTCCAAGAGATATAAACATCCCATGAGTCATCTCTTATGTCCATCTGTTTATTCACGATTGAGAACTTTTTTCCCATATTCTTTTTATGCAGATGAACTTATATTTAGTTTTTATGAGGATAAATCTATGCATTAAGGAAATAACAACAAGAATTTTGTTAGAGCTGTTCTTTGTCTTTCAAGGTTTTGCACATTTCAAATAATTATTATCAGCTTATTTTTATCTATATTATGATTGATTCTGTTTGATAACTGTGACACCTGACAAAAACAATAACCAAAAGTGCACCAATGATATAAAATTAAAGAATTCTATATAATTAGTTGCTTAACAAATGAATTCCAAATCCAAATACTATGAAACACTTTTCTTTGCAGGTGAATGCTTTAAATGATTCACACCAACAGTTAATGGTGCATTGGGTTGGTGAAGGATCTAATGTAATAATATGTCTAGCAAGAGATAGCACATTTATGATGCGACTTCATGGAAGCAAATTTTCTGTATCCACCAATCCCAGTGCTGTGTATATAAGTTACGATTATGGGGACACATTTGAGAATAAAACTGAAAGCTTTAAAGTCTCTTCTGAACCGAATGCAGCATATGCGACTCTGGACAAGTTTATTTATCATCCAAAGTATTATAAATATGTAGGTTTTCATTTACTAAGAATTATTTCTTAATTGATTGTATCATTACTTATTTACTGCTTTCTCCAGTGTGTTTTTGTGGACAGCTTCAATAGCTTAATCTTTCTCACACCAAACAATGGAGAATTCATTCAAAGAGTTGAACTGCCATTCCATCCTAGTGAAATTTCATTTTCCGAAATGGACCCTAGAGCCCTTCTTGCCCTTGACAAAACGGACCCACAACGCAAAGTAAGAATCTAAGCCCTTAATCACGTTTAGGCTTTGAGTGTATGTATCGTCACTTTACCTACATGTTACTGTTCTAATTCAGTTGTGGTTGTCAATGAATATGGGATTCACTTGGATACCAATACACCGCTATGTGAAAGCATTCTTTTGGTCATCTTCACCTGTAATAGTGATTGAACGAATCGAGCCTTTTGGAAAACACACCGTCTTAGAATTACCTTGGGCATATCTAGAACTTTACCAATCGATGACATTGGGGTTAGATATGAAAATGTTAAACAGATCGTTTACAGTCGTAATGACATACGTTGAAGACTTTCAGATTAGAGGTGATTATAGATTCGCAACAACGAAAGATATGAAGGTATATCCATATTTGGCTGCATTTATAATATTTCAGTTACACTTCAATTTGTTCGGTCAATATAAAGGTAATTTGTTTCTTAACAGACCGAAACAGAGAATTTAGATCTTTATGTGTCGTACAAGAACAACAGTTTCGTTAAGGCTGAATTTAGTCCAGACTTACCTCGTAAAAATTACCACATCGTCGACGTTTCATATAACCGAGTCTTTGTCACAGTGGCTCACAGTGAAACTCAAGTAAATCTCTATGTGTCGGAAATCGTAGATGAAAAGAAGGCAACGTTCGTATTATCGCTCGAAGGAATTCTCACATTCTTCCCTAATAGTACTTGGAAAGACAGTTGGTTGAAGTAAGTACCGGAAACACATAGAATCGTCTTGGTAAAACGTCTTATAAATTCGCGTTGATTGTTCTACTGGTATTTGATCGATGCTAAAGACACTTGAAAATGTATCTTCTGGCTTACAGGCGTTTTATTAATTCTGTACACTGACACATTTTTGTTGTTTTCAGTGACGTAGCAGATGAAGTGTTTACTGATCTTTACAAAGTCGAGGGTCTCCGCGGTATTTACATAGCATCCCAAGTAAAGGGAACACCAAAGTCGGGCTCAATCGGACCAGAGCATTTAATTTCACTGATAACATTCGACCACGGGGCAACATGGAATCCCATCAAAGCACCAACTGCAAATCACGAAGGGTTTTACGTTCATTGCACGAAAAATTGCTCGTTGCACCTGAGTCAACGGTTCAGTCAACTGTATCCGGTCACCAGATCCGCATCCATCATGAGTTCCAAGTCTGCTCCCGGCATTATAATGGCTACCGGAGTTGTGGGGCCAAATTTAAAAGGTCATCCCGCCCTCTACGTGTCCAGAGATGCTGGCATTACTTGGAAGCAGGTGCTCAAGGAGTATTATTTCTTTAATATGGGTGATCACGGTGGTTTGTTGGTAGCCGTGAAGTATTTTAAGTCGCGCGGTGAAACGCGAGATCTTTCTTATTCCGTTGACGAGGGCGAAACCTGGCAGACTTACGTGTTCAACGAGAAAATGTTGAGAGTGTACGGGCTCATGACTGAACCGGGGGAGAACACAACGGTGTTCACGATGTTCGGCTCGGACAGTGGGCAGCATCAGTGGCTGATAATCAAGGTCGACTTGCGAAACGTGTTCGAAAGAAACTGCACCAAGGAGGACTTCAAGTTCTGGTCTCCTTCGTTCTCGGACAAACCGGGAATGCCGTGCGTGTTAGGCCGAAAGGAGACTTACCAAAGAAGAGCCGCATGGGCGAATTGTTACACGGGCGTGGACTATGATCGGCCTATTCGAACGGAGGTATGCCCCTGCGATGCTCATGACTATCACTGCGATTTCGGTTTTATGCGAGAAAACTTAACGTGTATCCGCAATAAGTCCATGATCTCGTTCGATCCTTACGCTATACCGACTACTTGCAAGCCCGGTGCGTTCTACAAGCGAACGAAGGGGTACGTAAAGATATACGACGACGAGTGCGTTGGTGGTTGGTCCAGGAATCACGAGCCGGACGAGATTCCGTGTCCCATAGGAGAAATGTCGCAGTTTCTGTTGGTTGCTCAACGGGAGCACATTTCGCGCATCGACCTGGTAGAAGAGAAATTGGAGAAGTTGCCAGTTCATGACCTGAAGAACGTCATTGCCATAGATTTCGATATGAAGAACAATTGCCTGTACTGGGCGGATATTGTCAACGACACGATTGGTAGACAATGTTTCAACGGCACAAACGCGCCTGAGATTCTAGTCGAGACCGATCTGAGTTCCATCGAGGGAATGGCATTCGACTGGGTGTCCAATCTCTTGTACTTCGTCGACGGCGTTAAGATGCGGATTCAAGTGATCAAAACGAATATATCCACTATGGGACGAATGCGAAGAACAATCCTGGGACCGAATAACTTGCAGAAACCTAGAGGTATAGCGGTTCACCCTATGAACGGGTATATGTTCTGGACCGATTGGGCGCCGGGCAACGCTTCGGTGTCGAGAGCGAATCTCGATGGGACGGAAGTAAAACGATTGTTCGTGGAACCGACCGTCGAGTGGCCAAACGGTATAACTATCGACCATATAGCGGAACGTATCTACTGGGTGGACGCTAGACAGGATTATATAGGATCCAGCGACTTCGACGGAAAGAAGTTTAAAAAGGTAATCTCGAAGAACGAACGGGTATCGCATCCGTTTGCTGTCGCGGTGTTCAAGGACAACATGTACTGGGACGATTGGAAGCAATCTATGATATTCGTGGCGGACAAAGATCACGGTTTAGGTATCTCCACCATTATAGGGGAATTGACCGGTCTGATGGACGTGAAGGTGTTCGCTCACAGTATTCAGCACGGTACAAACGCTTGCGTGAACAGCACATGCTCGCATATCTGCGTTGGGGCACCGAAGGGCGGTCACACGTGTCTCTGTCCGGACGGGATGGAGATGATCGACGGGAAATGCATGTGCCCCGAGGGTGTCACGCCCTATCCGAACTCGACCTGTCCACGTGTGGCGAGTACCTGCGCCGCGAATCAGTTCGCCTGCGAGAATAACGTTTGTATCCCCGCGTTCTGGCGTTGCGACGGCGACAACGATTGCGGCGATCGTTCGGACGAGTTGCACTGTCTGCGGAAACCTTGCCTGTCGAACTTCGAGTGTGACAACAGCACGAAATGCATCTCCCAGTCGTGGGTCTGCGACATAGACAAGGATTGCAAGGACGGCACGGACGAGAAGACCTGCAAGTACTCAACTTGCACCGAGTCGCAGTTCAAATGCGCGGATGGCAGATGTATATCACAGAGATGGGTATGCGACGGGGAGCACGATTGCCAGGATTTCTCGGACGAGTGGTTCTGTCATACGGAAGCGGGCGAGGTACCGCGGAACAGTTGTAGATCCGACGAGATGCTCTGCAAGTCCGAGCACTCTTGCATACCAACTGCCTGGAAGTGCGACGGCGAGTCCGACTGCGAGGACGGGATGGACGAGGCGGATTGCAGCAAAGTCGAGTGCGAGAGTTGGCAGTTCACCTGTAACTTGTTCCACGGTAGCCGTAGATGTATCTACAAGTCTTTCGTTTGCGACGGGGACAAAGATTGTCCAGACGGATCGGACGAGGTGAACTGTACCACCAATGTTAGACCGGCGCCACCTTTATACCCGACGTTGTTGAATTACACCTGTAACGACTGGATGTTCATGTGCGACAATAAGAAATGCGTGCCGTACTGGTGGAAGTGCGACAGCGTGGACGACTGTGGCGACGATTCCGACGAGATCGGATGCGGGAATGCCTACGAGACCGACACCACCACCGCGGTGGCCATTACCGAGCAGCCAAAGGTCTGCAAGGAGCATCGTTTCCAGTGTTTGAACGGCGAATGCATACCGAACGCGTGGGTATGCGACGGTTCGAACGATTGTTCGGCCGGCGAAGACGAGCTACGATGCGTCGGCGAACAGGCATCCTGCCAGGAGAATCAGTTCAAGTGTCGCATGGACGGCGCCTGTATACCGATCAAACTCGTCTGCAACGGCGCGGAGGACTGTCCGGACGGCACCGACGAGCTGGGCTGTTCCACCGAACAACATTCCAGTCCAGCCGTGACGCCGTCCTGCTACGTTGGTCTGTTCCCGTGCGACGAGACACGTTGCTTCCCGTTGGCTGCTTATTGCGATGGAAATCAGGATTGCTACGACGGCTTCGACGAGAAGAACTGCGATAAGAACAGCTCGCGTATTTATCAAGTTCTGATGATGGGCGTCGACGAGCGATCGGTCAACTCCACCAGTCTGTTCTTGTTCTGGTGGATGCCGGTACCGGCGAACGTCACCCTTGAATTTATGCCGTCCATCGCGTTAGCGGAACCGGCCGCGAACTGGACCAATGCCAGCAAATGGATCGAGGAAGTGGAGTATCAGTTCAACGATCTGAAACCGTATACACTTTACAACGTGACCGTTTACGTTCGACAGAAGGGACAATCGACCGTGTTCCCGCCAGCGAAGTACTTGACTGTTATAACAGGAAAGGGTGTACCTTCGGAGCCACGAAACCTCACCGTCACGCAGGGTTACGGGACACGGGTGGAATTGCACTGGCTGCCTCCGTTGCATCCGAACGGGCCTATTATCGGCTACGAAGGATTCGTGATGCCGCCCGTACCGCCTGTACGTTTCTTCAAAGTGAAAACGTCCGCGGTATTGGACATGGCCTTCGAGGCGGGCGGGAATTATCTGTTTTGGGTGATAGCTAAGAACTCCGAGCGCGAATCGGCTTCGTCGAACGTGGTCACGTTGACGTTCGACGGCACCGTGAACATGGACAACATCGAGGGGCTTAGAGTCCTGACGACCACTAATCATTCGGTTACGTTGGCTTGGAAGCAAATCAAGGATGTCGATGGATATCACGTGACCGCCAGAGGCGACAGCGGTCCGTATCCTTGGCTGCCGACGGTTTCCACGTTGCAGAATCGGTTAGAATTCACGAAATTGGCACCCGGAGTGAAGTACATATTCGAGGTGGAAGCCATTAAAAAGAAGTACGTCGGGAAACCGGCTACCATAACCGCGTTCACGGAAGGAACAAAGTTACCGTACGTCAGTAACTTCGAAGCTCAGCTGGTCAAGCCCCACGGAAGGTCGGTGAAGTTGACTTGGGCACCGATTACAAGCCCAAAGAAGATCAAGTGGCAGTACGCTATCCATTATGCCATTCATTGCCGGGATATCTTTGGCGGTAATTCATTGTTATTCATCAGTAAATTCTTGCCATGCGCAGCTTGAGTTTTCACGAAAGGGTCATTCTCCACGCGAAATCGGCCACTTTTCGGAGTAACATTTCGGATTTTGTTGAAGCACGGACATGTGTTATAGTCTTCAGTGATACATAAACGAATCTTGAAGGATTTTTGAAAATTTAAAATATTGCGGTACTAGCACTGTAAGCACCCACAAAGGTCATTTTGATCAATTTGTTAGTTCAACAGTTATGATTTATAGAAAGAAGGTTAACACTATATTTCAAACAACTTTTGAATTTTCAAAATCATACGTTTATCAAAGACATACGTTTATATGTCTCTGGAGTCTACAATATATCCCAGTTTCAAACAAATCCCGAAATGTTACTCCAAAAAACTGTCCGATTTCCCGTGGAATGACCCGCAATTATTAACGCTCCGTTCAGAATCATATGAATTCATCAATGACTTTTGTAGAATACAAGCTGCTCACAACGAATCTGTCCGCTACGATCAAGGATTTGGACGCCTGCGAGTCGTACTGCTTTACAATTGGAGTTAATGGAGATTACGGCGCTGGCCCCCTGTTCATGCCGCGTAGAGTATTTACCCATTTCAATGTACTCGCTCCGCCAAAGAAACTGAAGGTCACTCCGTCCGACAGGCATGACACCATCGTCATCTCGTGGAGCGCCAGTTGCCCGAAAATCGATGAACCTATTAAGTACACGGTAAGCTCACGGGGGATATTCGATGATGATAGACCGCGCGCAAATGGTATAATCGTTGATGAAATTGCTACTCCCTCCGTTGCTTTATAGATCACGGTGACCGAGATGACATTGGACAAGCATTTCATTGTTACTCTACCACCGACAAACGAAACAATGATGAAGCACACTTTCAATTCCATAAAGCACGGCGGCAAATACCGTATCGTTATAACGACAGACGTCGAGAACGCAATACCAAGTGAGCCGTACATCTACACGGCCCCGATGATATTGCCTCCTCATCAATTGGAAGTGGTTCACGACAACACGAACTACGTTGTGTTTTGGCAAGAGCATGATCTACCGGAAAGCCTCAAGAATGCGAAGTATCATTACGAGATTCTGGTGGTCGAAGGATCGAACACGATGAACGAATCGCTCGCCAAGATCTACAAGATTGATCAACCACCGTACACGTACAAGGACGTTAAACCGGATGTAATTTATACGTTCGCCGTTCGTTTGGTCACAGACGAAGGCTATCAGAGCCGATTGAGCGAAATCGTCAGCATTAGAACGTTTGCTGGTAATTATCTTGTTTTGTAAACGTCGTTGTGTCATTATTTCGATCGATCGAATCTGTCATTTTTCCAATTCGTACTGGGTAATTTAGAATCCGTTCAATCTATTTCAGAAATGTCGCTACCGGTCACGATAAATACATCCAACATCCTATCTTTCGCTATACCCATCTGTTTGCTCATTGTCGCTCTGGGATTTGCGTTGTACTTTGTCGTGAGGCACAGGAGGCTGTCCAAGAGCTTCACGCAATTCGCTAACAGCCATTATGATACAAGACGCGGGCAAGCGACGTTTCCTGGAACTACGGATGGTTTGGGTTAGTTTCTCATACTAATTACGCTTATTTATGCTAAAGAATGAGAGACCGTGATGTTCTTTGCTGTAGTAAGAACCAGTTCAGTCAATATGGCCGCTGATACTGGGTCTCTAATCTGGCAATCAAGTATCCTAATATGGAGAGCATACGTTTATTACGACGGGAATGTAAAAAAAATATTAATTGTATTTTTTTCCGTTTACAGAAGAAGAAGACAGCCCTGTGATCCGAGGCTTTTCCGACGACGAACCATTGGTAATAGCATAAGCCCAGCGAGCATCCAACGTCCACAACTATATTACACTTCCACGTGAAACAGACACAGAAGATACATTACACACGCACACAAACACATACACATATACGTACATAAACATAATATGATATTTACGTGTTAGGAGAAACGTGCCAAGACACTATTATTAATTATGATAAACTTCGAGTATACATGTATAGGTAAGACCTGATCATAAAAGTGGGAAGCTTTTATGAAAGTGGCTCAAGACTGACACACTTCACTAATCGTTAGTAAGTTACAGATTGATTAGACGGGCTGCTTAGAGCACTTACATGAAAGCTTGTACGTATCAACATCCTCCTTTACGTTTTAGAGAGATCTAATTATATACGCGACTGTTCAAAATTTTGGAGCATCGTTTAGTCTAGCAAAAAAAAAAAAAAAAAAAAAAAAAAAAAAAAAAAAAAAAAGAACAGAGAACAACTGTTTCTTCCAAAAGAAATACGGTTTCCGGGCACAATTTTCAACACGTTTCTCATGTCCTAGACAAAATATTTTCTACTCGGTCGCTAACAGCTGCTACCGTCGAGGCCTTGTCTGTCGTGAGGGTGAACCGTGTGCTTTTGGAAAAGTTATTTTAACGAATCAACCAACGTTCCCATTGTTATTCGCGATATCAGTTTATTATCTGTGCGAAATATTCGATCGTTCCGAGTTGTGCCCCCCAATTTACGTTCCGGGTGATACCTAACCATTTACGATACGGGCAAAAACAATACCGTGTGCCGGCGTAAAAAACAAAAAAAAAAGAAAGAAAAGATGTTCCAAATTTTTGAGCGGTGGTTTGTACATGTACATGATACCGAATTAGTATACGGACAGTTAAGTCATGCTGGCGGGCCGCGGAGATAGAAGCGCAAGCTGTTGTTTGATAATGTGTAAAAGTCGTGCGATAAAACGGGAGAGAAAGAGTAATCTGTACATATAGTAAATATTTTGTACCGAACCGCAGAAACTAGAAAAGCGTATTTCCAAATTTTGTTTAAAAACGATTTTTAACATTTTCCCTGCCCAAAGCCAATGGAAGCATTTTATATATACATGAGTCTGCTACTTCTTAATTGTTTTGTAATAAATCTTTTTTACGCAAACTTACATTACGTACGCGTGTACACACACACACACACACACACACACACACACACACACATGTAGAGAGAGGACAAGTCGAACGAGCGTATTTATACAATTTAAGAAGAGTACATAACGAGGCTCTCGCGGCAGCGGTGAATGTTCCGTTAGATTAAAAACTATTTCAACGTGACACACACGTACACACATATACACGCACGTACAGACCATGATTGGATACCACGAGCGTTCAGAGAAGGCAACGATTATCGAAAACCACATCAACAACTGTTCTTGCACCGAGAAAATTTGTATCTTCTAGCGCCGCCCGTTGTTAAACGAGTTCCATCGATGGAACCACACACGGTTTATTGGGTTCGTGGATTGTCCACTAGGAAAAAAAAGCAGCGTCTAAAATTTATCGCACAGGGTAATCTCACACGATGTTCGGCCGGTAGCTGTCAGATAAATTCAGAATTCGAAAACAGCGAAGAGACAACGAGAGAGTCGCCAGTTTCGAGAATTTCGATTCTTTGGGGATTAACCGTTTCGCTACCGTCGGTGACTGTTGCGACCAATTACACGTTTCGTTATATCGAAAACACCCCCGAAATATTATTATAATCCAAGCACCCTCTGAACGATTAAAATGTTTTCGCTCTTGGAACGTTCTTGTATTCAGTTAGCGTGTAGCATCCAATTGAATTCATTCTTAATTCACCGTTCGGAACTGTCTATATTGTTTTTCGATCCTGAATTCATCTTGCTCTACGGTTGCAACATAACTGACCGCCATTCTTTCCACCATCGATCCTTTCTTGGATGTGTGGTATCGCGCGTAAAATAAATTTCACTAGAGTTCATGAGATTCGATAATGTTTTTAAAAAATAATTACCACCACGGTGTGTGGTAGACTTCGATTTATTCAAGACATTCGATTTCCGTCGAACACGGACGAGCTTTAGCTGTAAAGGAATTTTTACTGTCGTTAATATATGGCGGTCAACGTGTCAAGGAAGGACAGTCTCCCGTAGATGTAAATAATAAATCGCACGAAGCGATTTGGAAAGTCCTTCGTGTTGTTCACTGCCGCGAAAATTTCGCTCTTCAGCTCTCCAACGAACCGGCACGGCCAGTTTTTTCTTTTTAATACACGCTAGACGAAATTTCACGGAGGAATCAGCCTGATACCGATCACATTCATTGAATCTATCGATCAAGCACAGACTGTACAAGAGATTCGCAATTTGCCTGCTACTGGAAGTGTGTTTAATCTCGAGAAATTCATCGAACATTATCCGCTTCGAGTCTTTGTTTCTGTTATCTTTTTCGCAACGATAAAAGATGTCGAGCGATGTTTTTATCATAAGGATGGATAATCGTTGAACCGTGGACATTTACGCAGATATAGACCATTGTGGGATTGATTCGGACAGAGACTGGAATCGATCGGAAGTACATACGTATGTTCAGTTTACAGTAAATCCTCGATTAGTGTTCGAAGGCTTTTTCCCACTGAGTGTTGGTACTTGATTGGTTCCAGGGGGACCTCCCCCCCCCCCTAGTGGTGGGGATGACATCAGAACACTTAATGCCGAGGAGCCTTCGACCATTCATCCATGATTCACTGTATTTACGGTACTATCAAGATTCCAGTTGAAATGCCGTACTGAATTTTCGACAATTGACCGCGTATATGGCTACGAATGCATAAAATCCTCGGTCTAACGATCTTATATACGTTTTATTCCCCTCTTTATATCATTCTTGCTCAAACGAACTCCTTATAATCGGCGTCGATACCACCCGCTATAATTCCAGACCTTCTATCTTGCGGATGGCGAGAGAAAAAGGATAAGGACGGAAATAGAGGAAACGAATGAGAGTAGTGATGTGTATGTGCTGCTGAGAAGGAACGAGAAAGAAGCGAGACGCTAATCAACGAAAGCCATTTTGTAGTATCGTGTCCACTTGCTCTCTCTGTAATCGCGTAAACGGCTCGAGTGACGCGATTATAGGCCGAAGGGGGGGGGGGGGGGGGGGAATCCTAATTTTTCCTGCTCTTTTCGACGTTTTTTATTATTATTATTTTGTTTCTTTCTCCTCGAAATTGCTACAATTCGCCGAGCGTTCTGAGGATTTTAATTGCGTCGCCCGGGGAAAATCCAACCGGATTCTGTTTACCGGATTCACACGCGTTGATTAACAACGACAATTGTTACGCGAGAAATGGAGAAAGGGGTGACACGAGAAGAGAAAAGAGAAGAGAGAACGCGTGGACTCGGGGGAATAATTTCGTTTCCCGGAGGCAGTTCTCCCGTTGCGAGAGCGACGATTTTACGGGAGCGTAGCTTGAACGTGTAAAATCTCAAGGGTTATAGCAATATAACAGTGATATATACTTGATAACAACGAAGCGGAGTTATATATGAATATTTCATCGTGAAATCGAGCAAGGCCAATCCGATTAGGAATGAATTAATCATTAAATATTAACCTGCTCACTGCACCTGTTTTGGTATCCGGTACAAAAAATGTTTTCTTTTATAAAATCAAGATCCCCTATGGTCAATTTCAAGACTGTTTAAAGCAATTTTTTTAAATATTTTTTTTAACAAATGCAGTTGGGGGTTAATATCGTCGAGAAATCCGATTAACGCGTGACTATTCCGTTTTTTGACGTAAACGAATATTTTGTTTGATACGCGTGCACGATGACGACATAGTAATCACGATTCTTCAGCGATAATGGGTCCTCTCTGCACTTGGTCGAGTGTTTCAATGGATCGTTATGCCATTTGCCATTAGATGATATTCACGTGAACGTATCGTGGGTACCGTAAGTACGCCAATCATTGGACCCACATCCAACTACGTCTCGAGTCTAACACCATCATATAGTCGCGCCCATATCGCTCGTTTGTCGCAACAATGACAGCTAAAAATTTGCAGTTTTTCAATTATTAACATGGAAAAGATACGATTCTCGTGTGTACTTTTCATTGATCCAGTCCCGTTTCGGTCCCATCGTTTCCTATCGGACGAACTTCCGTTCTCCAATCGGTCGAATTTCCGTTCTCCAATCGGACGAACTTCCGTTCTCCAATCGGTCGAGCCGAAAAACGCGACGTTCCCGGCGGATATAATTTAATTGCGCGCGCGCGCGTGTGTGTGTGTGTGTCTCTGTGTCATCGTCGTCGTGGTCGGTTCTGCCAAAAAGTGGAACGACGCACATAGAAACAACCGTCCTCCGACCGATTCCACAATGAGCCTACTCCCATGGCGCGCACTAAGCACTTCCTGTTGAACCTCTCAACGGAGGATAATTTGAGGTTTTCGGCACCGTTATTTCATTAAAAACGCGTACGTTATTGTCCCCTCGTGTGCCCTCGTCGTGTTCTAAATTTCAACGGTCGCCGCCGCGTCGGTACCACATGATAGTGCCTACATACTCGGCCCCGGTGACGTTCCTCATTTATTTTCCCTCTCTTCCACTCGGAAATTACACGGATCCTTGATGGATCCATTATGATCGAGCACGCGCGACGCTTTCCAGACCTGTCAGGCCACGGGAGGACGAATTAACTCGTCACATGCTACGCTAATGTCTTACGATGATCTTTCGGCTTCTTTTTTCTTTTTTTTTTTGTATTGTTAAATTGCTCGTGACCCCGATTGACTCTCCTGTAATTATAGAAATGTTTGTAGTGTCAAACCCTCGGAAGAAGGATAGGATTGAATAGATCCCTATATCATCTGTCTTTGGATGTGTTTTTAAGTATTAATTTCGCGACTATGGGAGAAGTGGTAAATTCCTCAAAGAGCTGCTTATCTTCTTAAAAATTAATTTTAAATGAATTAGCATTGGAAATTACTTTCACATCCACCTTATTCGCCTGATCGAACACCCAGCAACTATCAACTCTTACGAAAATTGGAAAAACCTCTACGTCGGTGCATGATTCCTGGATTTAAAAGACTCAATAAGGAAACACTCCCAAAAGGTTTTTTTTCAGATGGCCAGAAAAAAACTAGTTTCATACTGGGCAAGTGCATAGAGTTTAAAGGAAAATTATATTGAAGAATTACGATGTAATATGGACGAAAATGAATAAAATAAACAATTTATAACAGGATTCCCAGATTTTTTTTAAACATCCCCCGTAATAAAGAACTGCGTTTCAGTTGGGTTTCGTAACCTGGAACGTTGTGGGTGAAAGTTTCCGCGATCCTGGGTCAGACTGGAACCCCGAACACACCGTCGTCGGATGGTTAATAGGAAACGTAAATGGAAATGATGTTTTATCAAGGACGTTTTCGTGAATACAATAACTTGAAGGAGTTTTATGTACACACGTTACTTTCGACCACGGTTTAGCTTAACAATTACTCCGGGTAAGTTCTTTCTTCCTGCTCACGAAGCGTACGAGGCCCACGAGAAGAAACTGATCAATTATTCATTAGGTTGGTAAAACAAAGAGCCCGATTCTAAGTAGCCTTCTTCTTCAGTTTCTCGTGGATATTCTCACGGGCCCAGGAGACCGTGAAATCTCAGTCGTAATGCGATCGTGTCTGCTGCTGCTGGTCGGACGCGAACGCCATTACACGGTTAATATTTTAATAATCGGGTATCAGAAACTCCATTTCAGGATTAATCTACGATCCAAGGCCCCCGGAGGCGACGACCGTTTTACATATTTTCCCGTCCGATCTGGCGCCTGTGAACCGGACGGACGACACTCGCGCGGCTACGTGAAATCGAACGACTATAGGCAGGGATCGAAAAAGTTATGAAACTTTTTAACAGGTGGAATATGGAAGTTAATAAGATTAAAACAGGGACCGTGGAACTTTTTTAAAAAACATTCTCATATTATAAGTTCTGATCAGAATACATAGATA